TTAAGTATATTGATAAATAGACCATCTCCAAATTCAGTTTCCATGTGATAGCTAGAGACAGGCTCTCGTGACTGACTTGAGTCTTTCAACACTGGTGTATGTTGTGGCGGCTCGTGCGGGGGTGCTGTGGAATTGCAGCACCCCCTATTTTCACTCGATATTGTCAATAACATTCAATATAATGAGTCTTTTTATTATTTAATTCTTTCTTTATACTTGTACATTATATAATCAAAGAATTAAAGAAAATAGGGGATGCTGCAGTTCTGCAGCAGCCCCGCACGAGCCGCCACTGGCCCGTGAATCCTACTTTGAAGAAAGTTAATATATTTAATGGAGTGTGTAGGTACCATTTTGAAACTCTTAATCTCGAAATGGTAGAATATTATTTAACCTTATTCTTTTATTTTGCCTTGATACTGGTGAGGTGCTTTTGATACGAGGTACTGGACTAATCTTTCATTTGCTTGGATTGAATCTGAATACCTCTCATTTCATAGGTGCTATTGACCCCTAGTGATTTAGTGCTTTATTCTTATTAAACTCTAACAATTGTGAATGACATCAACCTTCAATGGTTGATGTATGAAATAGATGGAACGTTTCGTAAGTTTAGGCTGCGTAGGCATAAATTTTGTTAGATTCTGTGCAATAACTAGAAAATGCATCTTCCGGTCAATTTTAAACTTTCAGTGTTGATGTGTTTTCCTCAAAATTATTATTATTATTATTACAGTACTCTGTTCAGAAATATTCCATGTCTTTTTCATATGATTTTTTGTGAATGGTTTTCTTTTGAATGCTTTGTTATCAGTTTGAAAAAACAATTTCCCCTCACAGCATGGTCTGAGGCCAAACCTCCTTGGTGAGTGCATCTTCAACCAGGTTGTTGCCATTAGTGGTACGATGGCCATATAGCCCTCACAGCTTGGTTGTCCTGGCACTTCTCGGACGTAATGCCCTAGTTTCTTCTTGAAGAAACTGGGGTATTACGCATCTTCTAACAATATTTCTGATATCTGTAGTAGGCTTCAGGGATTATATTCCAAGTACTTTGAGGCATTCCAAGTAGTTTTAATGCTGTCTGATATTTCTCCTGCACTGAGTGAAGCTCTCAACACAAAACAGTATTCTAGATGTGAAAGCAAAAAATATTGAATAGGTTCTAAGCTACCGGTATTATTTCTAGTGTTTTCAGGATTCTTATTATCAACGCCGTTACTTTTCTGGCCTTCACGACATTTGCCTTTGTTTTCAAAAGGCTACGTCCTGTGTCATTATTAAGCCTAAGTGTTTTAAATGTTTAAATGTTCATTTGTTTTGGAGATAGTTAACCTATATTTGGTATCCAATGCACATTTTCGGATCTTTGTCCTTCCATTATCTAAGTAGCTGGAATCTGTCATCTTGGAACATCATCTTATTATCCACTGCCCACTACAAGACTTTGTTGGTATCTGCTTGAAATTTTTATGTCGTCGACTGATGTAACGTTCATGTTAACTGTTATCATCTGCCAAAACGATTATTCGAATTTGTTGTTAATATTTTTGTCTATGTGGATGAAAAACAGTGAGGCACTAGATTTGTACCTTGGGAGTGCCAACTTTTGTTTTATTTTGCTTAGTAAGATTTTGTTTTATTAACATGATTCTGTTCTATATTAGAAAATTTAATTTATATTTTTATACTTTAACAATCCTTGATCAGATCTGTAAAATTTCTTTGCAATGTACTTACAGAATACACCTGCCTTTTGCCTTTTTTTCTAAAGCTTCTACTTTTTCATATTTTCCACTGAAAGTAAGTTGATTTTTAAGCCGTTCTTCCTTGTGTGTAATCCCCTGTCGGTTATATATAATCTCTAGTTATCTATGTGTATCTACAGTAGTATAGTTATGTGCAGAGTCATTAAAGTAAGTTCAGAAATTGCAAAAACTGCACTGTTTATGTAGTGAGGACAGGAGGCATGTAAGTCATGGAGATAGTGAGGACAGGAGGCATGTAAGTCATGGAGATAGTGAGGACAGGAGACATGTAAGTCATGGAGATAGTGAGGACAGGAGGCATGTAAGTCTTGGAGGTAGTGAGGACAGGAGGCATGTAAATCATGGAGGTAGTGAGGACAGGAGACATGTAAGTCATGGAGGTAGTGAGGACAGGAGACATGTAAGTCATGGAGGTAGTGAGGACAGGAGACATGTAAGTCATGGAGATAGTGAGGACAGGAGGCATGTAAGTCATGGAGATAGTGAGGACAGGAGACATGTAAGTCATGGAGATAGTGAGGACAGGAGGCATGTAAGTCATGGAGATAGTGAGGACAGGAGGCATGTAAGTCATGGAGATAGTGAGGACAGGAGACATGTAAGTCATGGAGATAGTGAGGACAGGAGACATGTAAGTCATGGAGGTAGTGAGGACAGGAGACATGTAATTTCATGGAGATAGTGAGGACAGGAGCATGTAAGTCATGAGATAGTGAGGACAGGAGACATGTAAGTCATGGAGATAGTGAGGACAGGAGACATGTAAGTCATGGAGATAGTGAGGACAGGAGGCATGTAAGTCTTGGAGGTAGTGAGGACAGGAGGCATGTAAGTCTTGGAGGTAGTGAGGACAGGAGGCATGTAAATCATGGAGGTAGTGAGGACAGGAGACATGTAAGTCATGGAGGTAGTGAGGACAGGAGACATGTAAGTCATGGAGGTAGTGAGGACAGGAGGCATGTAAGTCATGGAGATAGTGAGGACAGGAGGCATGTAAGTCATGGAGATAGTGAGGACAGGAGACATGTAAGTCATGGAGATAGTGAGGACAGGAGGCATGTAAGTCATGGAGATAATGAGGACAGGAGACATGTAAGTCATGGAGATAATGAGGACAGGAGACATGTAAGTCGTGGAGATAATGAGGACAGGAGACATGTAAGTCATGGAGATAGTGAGGACAGGAGGCATGTAAGTCTTGGAGGTAGTGAGGACAGGAGACATGTAAGTCATGGAGATAGTGAGGACAGGAGGCATGTAAGTCATGGAGGTAGTGAGGACAGGAGACATGTAAGTCATGGAGGTAGTGAGGACAGGAGACATGTAGGTCATGGAGATAGTGAGGACAGGAGACATGTAAGTCATGGAGATAGTGAGGACAGGAGACATGTAAGTCATGGAGATAATGAGGACAGGAGACATGTAAGTCATGGAGATAATGAGGACAGGAGACATGTAAGTCGTGGAGATAATGAGGACAGGAGACATGTAAGTCATGGAGATAGTGAGGACAGGAGACATGTAAGTCTTGGAGGTAGTGAGGACAGGAGACATGTAAGTCATGGAGGTAGTGAGGACAGGAGACATGTAAGTCATGGAGGTAGTGAGGACAGGAGACATGTAAGTCATGGAGATAGTGAGGACAGGAGACATGTAAGTCATGGAGGTAGTGAGGACAGGAGACATGTAAGTCATGGAGATAGTGAGGACAGGAGACATGTAAGTCATGGAGGTATGAGGACAGGAGACATGTAAGTCATGGAGGTAGTGAGGACAGGAGGCAGTAAGTCATGGAGATAGTGAGGACAGGAGACATGTAAGTCATGGAGGTAGTGAGGACAGGAGACATGTAAGTCATGGAGATAGTGAGGACAGGAGACATGTAAGTCATGGAGATAATGAGGACAGGAGACATGTAAGTCATGGAGATAATGAGGACAGGAGACATGTAAGTCGTGGAGATAATGAGGACAGGAGACATGTAAGTCATGGAGATAGTCCTATACAGTCATTCGTCTAATAAGAGAAGAGACACAGTGTTTCTTAACCCAAGTGATTTACATGTCATCCACAGAGTCATGTCACTACATCTATACTTGTACAAATTTCAGTAACATACGGCAGATATATATATAGTATTATATCAATGTCGACAGTCCAGTAAATCTTCCTGAAACTTGTCATAAAGAAAGCAGTTTGTGTTGAAAAAGTAAAAACATAAACTTTAACATTAAATTAGAAAATATTAGAAAATATATTGCAGAAGCATTTGCAAGATATATTGATTCTGTTAATTTTTTAATTTTTAATTTTAAACCGTAATTTAATATGTAAATAATTGCATATTAAAACTAGAATTGAGCACTTGTTGTTTGTTAATAATACAAGACGTATTAGTCTCATTTACATTATCTTTTGACAGTGTGTCTTACATACACTGGATACTTCACAGTGTGTTAATATTATTATTATTTATCATATTCAAAAACAAGCGCTACATATGTTTGATACAACATTGCTCAAAAGTATTAATACCACTGAATTTGGCACTCCATTGGCACATATGCAACACACATGTGAAACACATATACAACACACGACCGCACCAGCAGGCAGAGTTCATGCAAGTTATGTGCTAATTAGAGAATATCAATAACACAAACATCATTCTGGATCTGTGTATATGTTCTTAGCAAATGCATTCTTCATTCCTAAAAACTCTCTGAAGTTCAAAATTCTAAATAATATTGGTTAACTATTTCGTCAAATCAATTAGGATATCAGTTAAGCCATCAATACAGAGGTCCAACTCGGGAATGCTTTCAAAAATCTTTCCTTGATATTATTGTATTTTGCTGTGAACTTTAAGAACAAGATTCAGTATGAGATTAAGACACATGTGCAACATCCTGACGTTACTATATAAGCGCCAGGATCCTTTCTTCTGCTTCAGAATCTCCACGACTATGGTGCTCTTCGCACCTACTCCTAGGTTGAGGGACTGATTACCTCATCTTCTGTACATAGTTCTACTGTCTTCAAGTTATGTCCTAGAATTTGTATTGATAAAGCCACTGGATGGCGAAACGTCTACAATAAAGATACCCAGATGTTGCACATGTGTCTTAATCTCATCTTGTCGGTATTATATACCATTCGTACACAAGATTCAGTATATATTTCTATGCTTTCAGTAATACTGTAACACAGTTAGAGGGAAAAGATTATTGCTTCCACCTTTTTAATTTATTGATGTATTGCATAAATCTTCTTCTATCAGTAGTTGTGTGTCAAGTTTATGGAAAAATATTCGTATCTTTGTGGTTTCAGAGTTGTTTGTACTCTACTTAGATTGAACTAACAATATCAAGCAAATAGGCCTAAGTTTTTAAACTTTGATACTACATTGTTGCATCACTATGAAGTGAAAATGTGAGGAGTATATAATATAAATATGACTTTTAAATAGCAAAACTCTGTAGTTATAAGATAGATGTAACTCAACACAACAATGGATGCTTTAAATGCACAAAGATTAGTGTAGAGTAAATGCATGTGGTATATTTAAAAAACTATATTTTCATATAATTTGAAAAATTATTGTGCTTCCAGGTTCTAAGCTATGAATCAGTGAATGGTTTCCTGGGTGACCGCGTGCTATCATATCCAGTCTCAATATTTATCGGAGTTCTTCACAAAAATGGTATCAGCGAAGACATCACCAGTAATCCCCATCTTGCAAGGCCTGGAAGAAACTGAAGACAACACAGGTGAAGTAGATCCAAATGGCTGAAATACAGAGCACAAGGCAGCCAACAATGATGGGTAGTGTATAACCATGAGAGTTGATGAGAGTTAAGATTCCTCCTGCAAATGCCATGACCATATTCAAAAATGTGAAGAACACCCATGGCAGTAGTAGGAATCGCCGTTTCTGTCGAATAAACAAAGAAAAATTATTATACATAAAAAAGGAAATTACTAAAATTTGATTGTATTGTATCATACTGTATTCAAACATTATTAGCAGAACAAAAATGCAAAATGAATTTTTAAAATAGTCAGATATAGTCATAACTTTTAAACTAATTTGTTAGATTTTATTACCAAGTGTCAACTGAATGTACAATATTCTTTAGCCATTGTGTCATAATTAAGGTATAAAGAATAAATCAAATAAATCACCGATATTGGGACACGATTTTTACTTTTTACAACATCGGTTATTTCTTACCAAGGTAAGATGACCCCAAGAAGAAAACACAGTAACTATAACTCATTCATTAATTGCCCTGTTAGAAATATATGGACATAACAATCTAAAGTTCCCCCCCAAACAGTAGCATTACCACCCATCCTTCAGGGCAGCACATTGCAGACATTGTACTTTCCGCCTCTAAAACTCAAGTCCAGTTAAGCAGTTTTTTGTGAATTTCTTGATAAATGTTACCTAGGCCACACTAAAACAAAATATCAAATCTTAAAAGCCACTAGTGTCCCCTCACTCCCATACAACACCTTCAGACATGACTGCTTCATACAACACCTTCAGACATGACTGCTTCATACAACACCTTCAGACATGACTGCTTCATACAACACCTTCAGACATGACTGCTTCATACAACACCTTCAGACATGACTGCTTCATACAACACCTTCAGACATGACTGCTTCATACAACACCTTCAGACATGACTGCTTCATACAACACCTTCAGACATGACTGCTTCATACTCAAACTTTTACTTCCTTTTAGCTTTTTCTGCTCCTCATTCCAGCACTTACTGAGACATTCACGACCCCTTTCATCCATTCTAGATTTAAACACTCTCAAGGTCAACTTATACTGCTCTATCCTTTCTAATAACTAAGTCATCACAACAGCCACTCCTCTGCTCTCTAAATTACATGTATTATACCTTTCATACAACTATATAGTCTTCATTTTTTTTCTTCATAAATTTTACACTAGACATTGACAGACATAACACCCCACTGCCTCCCGCCTCCTCCTTACTGCAACATTCAAATACCTTACAAAACCCATGTTACTATGTTCCTTTTGCATCCATTGATAATTTTTTTTCCACGAAAGTCTCAATACTAAACCCAAATTTTCCATCCCCTGTTCGGTGATTCATCTCATTTTACATACACCCATTTGCCGACACATCCACTCCAAAACATTTGAAAAACTTTCACGTCCCTCAATCTTCAACAATGTCTCTCACTCACCAGTATATTGTAAATATTTGAGTAACATAATATGTTCTACGTCGTTACTCTTTACTTTAATCTAAATTATGTACTATTAAAAAATAAATTCTATTTCACTAAGCATCACCTCAAATGTCATACCATTTTAATGTCATACCAAACTGTTATAAAAATGCCAAAATGTCATATATCATAAATTGTTGAATACAGTATCATCATTTGTAAACTGTAGCATTACAGTAAATTAACCTAACCTTAAGGCTGCCCGAAACGCTCTACACAACCTGCGACTTTCCATAAAGTATGTTAATAACGTTAACTAACTCCATATCATTTGCATTAGAGAACATACAGAGAAGAATGACTAAAATGATTTACTACGTAAGGAATCTCCCGTATGAAGATAGACTTAAAGCCTTAAATCTCCACTCTCTGGAGAGGCGTAGAATTAGGGGAGATATCATTGAAGTGTATAAGTGGATGACGGGCATAAACAAGGGGGATATTAATAAAGTACTGAGGGTGTCGAACCAGGTAAGAACCAGAAATAATGGATTTAAGTTGGATAAATGTAGATTTAGAAAAGACACAGGTAAGTACTGGTTTTCTAACGGAGTTGTAGATGCGTGGAACAGTCTTCCCAGTGGGGTGATAGAGGCTAGGACCTTGGGTAGCTTTAAGAAGAGACTGGACAAATATATGAGTGGGAGGGGCTGGGTTTGATTGGTGTCATTGGGTACGGGAGTTATTTCTTGGGTATTATTATTATAATCAAGGGGAAGCGCTAAACCCGGAGGATTATACAGCGCCTGGGGGGGATGTGGAAGGCATTCAGGCTTAATTCGGGGAACTGGAGCACAGATCCAATTCCCTAAATCAAGAGCCCCTCACCAACATCAAGGAACCTTCCTTGAGGGGTATTTCTTGGGTAGCTTTAGGTAGAGATCACTTTGATAAGGACCTGCCTCGCATGGGCCAGTAGGCCTTCTGCAGTGTTCCTCCATTCTTATGTTCTTATGTTCTTATACCTTATGGAAATAAAGAGTATCAATTATCATGTAATTATCAATATTTCCTCCTTCCAGTCTAATATATATATATATATATATATATATATATATATATATATATATATATATATATATATATATATATATTATTTATTTATTTATATATATATATATATATATATATATATATATATATATATATATATATATATATATATATATATATATACATATATTATATAGTAGGTTGGTAGACAGCAACCACCCAGGGAAGTACTACCGTCCTGCCAGATGACTGTGAAACAGAAACCTGTAACTGTTTTGCATGATGGTAGGATTGCTGGTTTCTTTTTCTGTCTCATAAACACGCTAGATAACGGGGATATCTTGCTACTCCTACTTACACTTTGGTCACACTTCACTGACACGCACATGCATATATATATATATACATACATCTGGGTTTTTCTCCTTTTTCTAAATAGCTCTTGTTCTTTTTTATTTCTTCTATTGTCCATGGGGAAGTGGAAAAGAATCTTTCCTCCGTAAGCCATGCGTGTCGTATGAGGCGACTAAAATGCCGGGAGCAATGGGCTAGTAACCCCTTCTCCTGTATACATTTACTAAAAAAGAGAAGAAGAAAAACTTTATAAAATTGGGATGCTTAAATGTGCGTGGATGTAGTGCGGATGACAAGAAACAGATGATTGCTGATGTTATGAATGAAAAGAAGTTGGATGTCCTGGCTCTAAGCGAAACAAAGCTGAAGGGGGTAGGAGAATTTCAGTGGGGGGAAATAAATGGGATTAAATCTGGAGTATCTGAGAGAGTTAGAGCAAAGGAAGGGGTAGCAGTAATGTTAAATGATCAGTTATGGAAGGAGAAAAGAGAATATGAATGTGTAAATTCAAGAATTATGTGGATTAAAGTAAAGGTTGGATGCGAGAAGTGGGTCATAATAAGCGTGTATGCACCTGGAGAAGAGAGGAATGCAGAGGAGAGAGAGAGATTTTGGGAGATGTTAAGTGAATGTATAGGAGCCTTTGAACCAAGTGAGAGAGTAATTGTGGTAGGTGACCTGAATGCTAAAGTAGGAGAAACTTTTAGAGAGGGTGTGGTAGGTAAGTTTGGGGTGCCAGGTGTAAATGATAATGGGAGCCCTTTGATTGAACTTTGTATAGAAAGGGGTTTAGTTATAGGTAATACATATTTTAAGAAAAAGAGATAAATAAGTATACACGATATGATGTAGGGCGAAATGACAGTAGTTTGTTGGATTATGTATTGGTAGATAAAAGACTGTTGAGTAGACTTCAGGATGTACATGTTTATAGAGGGGCCACAGATATATCAGATCACTTTCTAGTTGTAGCTACACTGAGAGTAAAAGGTAGATGGGATACAAGGAGAATAGAAGCATCAGGGAAGAGAGAGGTGAAGGTTTATAAACTAAAAGAGGAGGCAGTTAGGGTAAGATATAAACAGCTATTGGAGGATAGATGGGCTAATGAGAGCATAGGCAATGGGGTCGAAGAGGTATGGGGTAGGTTTAAAAATGTAGTGTTAGAGTGTTCAGCAGAAGTTTGTGGTTACAGGAAAGTGGGTGCAGGAGGGAAGAGGAGTGATTGGTGGAATGATGATGTAAAGAGAGTAGTAAGGGAGAAAAAGTTAGCATATTAGAAGTTTTTACAAAGTAGAAGTGATGCAAGGAGGGAAGAGTATATGGAGAAAAAGAGAGAGGTTAAGAGAGTGGTGAAGCAATGTAAAAAGAGAGCAAATGAGAGAGTGGGTGAGATGTTATCAACAAATTTTGTTGAAAAAAAGAAAAAGTTTTGGAGTGAGATTAACAAGTTAAGAAACCCTAGAGAACAAATGGTTTTGGTCAGTTAAAAATAGGGAGGAGATTATTAAATGGAGATTTTTTAGAGGTATTGGGAAGATGGGGGAATATTTTGGGGAATTTTTTAATGTTGATAAAGATAGGGAAGCTGTGATTTCATGTAAGGGAAAGGAGGAAAAACATCTTGTGGGAGTGGGGAAAAGGCCGTTGTGAGTGTGGGGGGTTCGTGGGGCAGTAGGTAAAATGAAAGGGGAAGGCAGCCGGGATTGATGGGAAAAAGTAAAAAATGTTAAAAGCAGGTGGGGATATAGTTTTGAGGGGTTGGTCAATTATTTTAATAAAGTAGGGAAGGGGGTAAGGTACCTAGGATTGGCGGGGAGCATGTTTTCCTTTGTTAAAGGCAAAGGGGGAAAAAAGATGTGCAAAAATTATGGGGGGATAAGTCTGTTGAGTGTCCCTGGTAAAGTGTATGGTAGATTATTTAAAAGAATTAAGAGTAAGACGGAGAATAGATAGAGATGAACAAGGGGGTTTTAGGAAAGGTAGGGGGTGTGGCCAGGTTTACAAATTTAAACAATAAGTGAACATATTTAGATAAGGCAAAGGGTCTTTGTGGCATTTATGGATTTGGAAAAGGGGTATGACGGGGGGATAGGGGGGCAAAGTGGCAGAGTTCAAGTGTATGGGTGGAGGTAGGTTACTGAAAGCAGTAAGAGTTTTTACAGGATTGAGGCTCAATTAGAGTATTAGGAAAAGGGAAATTTTTTCCCCGTAAAATAGGCCTTAGACAAGGATGTGTGTGTCACCGTGGTTGTTTTTAAATATTTATGATGGGGTTGTAGGAAATAAATGCAGGGTCTGGCA